GTTCCAAAAGCAGACGAAATCGCTATGGAACCGGGTAAGAGTGTATACCCAATGACGGTCATTTTATAGGCCGCTTCCTTAAACCCCCCTTATAGTATGGCTTCGTGAATGAGGCGTAATAGCGATTTGACTAACTTTAGTCTTATACATATAATAATAATTAAGCTTTTAATTTTCTAAAATTAGGGTATACATATCCAGTTTTATAAGTATCCATTTTAATCAAATTAAACTAACAATTATCTAAAATATGGAAACCCTAATAACCTACCATTTTCGAAAATACTTGGAGGGGAAGGCTAAGGGTTTAAAACCCTAGCCCTAAATTTAAAAATCCAAGGGGTGGAGGCTAGGGTTTCTAAAACCCTAGCCCTAGTCGAAAGTATGGTCTTTTAGGGTTTAATTTCAGTAAACCCTAATTGGTCTATTCTTCTGTTTTAGCTATTCAACAAAAAACAAACCAAACGCGCTAATACCACTTATGGGACTTTGGTAAACAAACAAAACTAAAACTCTTAAGTTTTCATGCATCCTAAATATGATCTATGTTTTCTCTATTGAATTAAGAACATAAAAAAGAGTAAATTACTGAAATGGTCCCTATGGTTTGGTCAAAATTACACGTTTGGTCCCGAACTTTTTTTTTTGCACTCGGATCGTCCCTGTGGTTTGATTTTGTTGCATTTTTCGTCCCTTACATACATAAAGTTAGGGACCAAACGTGCAATTTTGACCAAACCATAGGGACGAAAAACGCAATAAAATTAAACCACAGGGACGATCCGAGTGCAAAAAAAAGTTAGGGACCAAACGTGTAATTTTGACCAAACCATAGGGACCATTTCAGTAATTTACTCCATAAAAAATAACCTTAGAAACCCAAGGATATTTTTGAAAAATAAAAGAGAGGGTTTTCAGACTGCATTCCTTTTAGTTATTATAGTAAACAACTAGAATTCGACTTTGTTGATCTCTTGGAAGCAAGCACCACAAGTTTCGTACCTCTAATGGAATCACACGTAATCTAACAAAAGGATGATAATAAGAGAGATGAGAAATGAGCAATATTTTTTCCAAGGTTTGTAGAGGGAAGGGTTGGACGAAAATAAGGGGCTAGGGGGTTCCTTATATAGTTGAAGAAACTTGGTTCCAAAACTAGGGTTTAAGATATGAGCCTTAGATTCATTTTCTTGGTGACCAAGCAGCCCAAGCCTATCATCCAATGGGCCTTGGATAAAATCTTCTAGGTTTGCCCTAGAGATTTTCGTCCACCTTATTCCATGAGGTTTTAGAGCCTTCATTTCTCAACTATCAATAAATAATCAAATAGTCACTTTGCTTTTAATTAATCCAATTAATCTCAAAATTAATTCAAATTAATTTCTGATTAATTATTAATTAAATAATATGATTTCTAATTAATATATCATTTTCATGACACATTAATAAACCATTTATTTAATTTATTATTCACATAATAAATTAAGTGCTCTCTCTCTCTCTCTCTTTCTTTCCTTTTCTCTCTCTCTCTCTCTCTCTCTCTCTATATATATATATATATATATATATATATATATAATCATGTCCAATTGCTAGGATTGAGAGCAACCCTAAAAGGACTGTGCTACTATCAATTCAAGTATATACATATTTTAGTTATGAGCTTAGACACTCAATCCAACAAAAATGATGAAATATGTTTACTATATTCCAACGGAGCCCAAACGCATTCAATTTGAACCAGGAACATCATAATATATGCATAGAGTCGTTGATATTTAATATGCATAAACAATTTGGAGAAGATTTGGCGGACTATATCTACGACGGTAAGGATGATAACGAATATTGTGTTTAGGGAAAAAACTATGTATTTTTTCGTCTTGTAATGTATTTTTTTAATTAAATGTTATATTTAATTGATATTATGTTTTATAAAACTGTGTTTTTATAAACATTAAAAAAGACTCAAAAATAAAAATAAAGATAAAATGATGACATAGAAATTAATTTGTATTATAACATGATAGATCATTTCTTATAATTGTGTTATTACCTTATTGGTAATGTGACATGTAAACTTATACATTTTTTTGTAATAGCATATTGTCCATACTTACTAGTCTTATAAACTTATAACATAGACTTATTAATAGTTGATTTTGAAAATATATTTTTTAAAATATGATTGACAAAAAATATGTACATTTTACTTGTAAATTGATACATGTTATAAGACTAATTTAAAATAAATTTTTAAACCCATTAAATATATGAAATATCTTTTATAATAAATGGAAGTCTCATATTTTTAATCTTCCAAAACGAAACATATATTGTTTAAAACTAACACAAGGAGAAAGTTATACCAAAAGGAAAATTTTATCCTATGCCTTTAATTTATTTGTACTCACTTTTTTAGGGTAAATTAGATTAATCGTACATCGTGTAATTGTGAAAACGCATGTTTGGTCATTATTTTCAAAAATTAATTTGGATCATCTCTTATATCGTAAAAAGATGCACAATTCATCTTTATAAACATGAAATGACTATATTGCCCCTTTTTATTTAATTTTCATGTTTATTTATCATTTTTAGATTTTAGATTAAAAAAAACAAATATCATCACCTACACCCCAACCCACTCCTCCCCTTTCTCTTTCCCTTTTTCTTCTACATCGCCTGGAAATCAGCACCACCAGAACCACCAATTACCACCGAAAACCACAGTTCACCACCGCCCAAAGCTACCAGAGAGCACCGCTTCTCTCCCTCCCCATCTCTCACACACATACCTTTCTGGAGGTTTGGCTTTCTCTATTTCATATCTTCTATCTAACTCTATCATATCACCTCCTTATCTTCCATATAGTTTTTCTTAAATCTGACACCACCACATATCACCGCCAACACCTCTTGAAACTCGTAATCAAAACCAAACCCTAAAGTGAAAATTAGACATGAAACTAACAATGTAGCTCTATCTAAAATATATGGTGGTTCTTTGGAAACCTAGCGACGACAATCTTATATCTAAGACCCTAGGCGGCTGTAGATTTCACGATAAGGCAGGTGGAGTAGTTCATGATGATGGATTTCACGATCCAAGCCCTTTGAAGATGTAGTTGGCGATTTGCTAATTTGAAACCCTCGACGGTTTAAAACCCTCCTCGCCGAAAATCTTAGAGGCAGTGGTTCTGAAACCCTAACCGAAGTCAATGACGATGCACATTCGCCGATACCCTGGTCGAGGGAAAATGTGTTTGACCTACCTGGTTTCTTTTTTCAGAAATATCTTTTTCGCTCCTTCTGATCCCATCATCTTCCCTTTCGCCGCCACTTGTAAACCCCCTCAATCATCGAAAAGCTCTTGATCAATCTCTATTTTTTGTCTATAAATTTCGTTTTTTATGTGTTTCTTATTAATATCGGAGAGAGAGAGAGAGAGACATGTGGGTTGTGGTTCGTCGATGGTGATGGGCAGTGATTTAGCGACCCTCTTCTACGATAATATATTGTCTTCTCCGATGGTGGTTTGTTGGTAGCTTAGGGAAAAGAGGATTTAACAGGAAAAGGTTAGGATAAGGTCATAAGGTGGGTAGAGTGGTTTTTTTTTTAAATTTTATTTTGTATTTTATAAATAATTGTAAGGAGGAAAAATAAATCAAAATAATAATAATAATGACATAACGGTCATTTCATCTGTCATAGAGGATGAAACGTGCAAATTTAAACTAACGAGGGATGAGGTGTGCAACTTTTAACTAATCAAGGGACGGTCCGAGTTAATTTTTTAAAATAGAAACAAAACGTGCGTTTTTACACCTGTACGAGAGACAAATTGTGTAATTTACCATTTTTTTAAATATTCTTTATTTTCATGAAATAGAGAAATAGTATGCTTTTAAATGTTTGACAAAATATAAGATACATCAAATTTGTAACACCTTAAATATAACATATTATACTTTCGTTTATATTTTAGAAAACTAAATTGTGTTTGGGATTGTTTTTTAGCCTAAAAAATCATTTTTGAAAAAAGAAATTTTTGACGTATGACTTTAAAAGAAGTTTTTAAAATATTTTTGGATTAACTTTTAAAGAACAAAAACCAAATAGCCAAAAGTCATAAAAAAATCACCAATTAATGACTTTTAAAAGAGTTTTTTGTTTGTTTGTTTGTTTTTTTTTTTTTTTTTAAGTCATTCCAAAAGAACTTTTGGATTGCCAATCACCTTTTTAAACTTTTTTGTTTTTTGAAAAAGCTAAAAGTTAAAAAATCATTTTGAAAAATAATCCAAAACACCCTAATTTTTGTAAAAAAAAATATGTTTGTAGTCAATCTTTGGAAGTGGTACCATGCCATTTTAATTTGGTATTGGAGCCGAAATCCCCAAGTCGAATTCGTGATTCGATATTGAGTTTCCATATTATTTTAGTTTTGGTTTCAATCCAATTTCAGGACAATGTTCACCAACTTCCAATGAGGGATCCTATAGCTCCATGTATTTTGGGTTTGAAAAGCTATAAATTTTATGAATTCTTAATATTTATACCACAACGTAAACATCCAACTATATAGTATACACCGGACATGTTTGATACGAAGCGTTTGAGAGTTTCTATCGTTTGATAAAACGCTTCATTTTGAAGAAAATATTCGTTTGACAATACATGCTTTTAACGTGTAGTTTAAACGAAACGCCACAAATCTAAAAGCTATGTCACATAGCGTGTAACAAACGTTACCAACTATCAACTGTCTGCTACCAGCTAGTTTTGTCAAACATGTCTACCATCTCATTCGGTTTCAACAGAATTAGCAAATACTAATTTTGGTTTCAATTGATAACTACTTTTTTTTCATTAAATTGTCTTTGCTTAGTCTTTTTATCCCAAACTAATCATTCATATTAAGTTATTAATATTAACTATCTTAGTTAAAAAAATAATTATATACAATTTTAATACAAACATATGATTGTTTATTAATTTATTTATCTGAAGGGTTCGATGGGTTCTGTTTCTTTTAATACACCAGCAGCCTCAAAACAATCAGCGGCTTCCATCGGACTCTCATCTCTAAGATACAACCCCAAATTATACCAAACTGTAGACTTCATCCTGTCCACCCGTAGAGCTTCATTCAAAAAGCCCCGCCCCACCGCTCCAGCCCCGCCACCGACCTTCCTCAACACCACCGCCATGGAAACAAGACTCTCCACATCACCAGGATCCACATCTAACGCATGTTTATATGCTTTTAAAGCTTGTCTATTCAGACCCTGAGCTTCATATAACAATCCTGCAACAAGATCCATCGGAACAAGGAGCAAGTATTCGGGTCGGGTCAGAATATGAGTAAAATTCAATTTAGGTATTTGTTTTGTAATTTGTACCAGTGGTATGTCGTGTAGAAGCCGAATAGTTACTAATAGCCTTCGATTTCATCAAACATGCCTCAGCATCTTGCCATTGAGACAATCTTATGTACACCTTAGCAAGATCATTCCACGTATCTAACTCCAACTTCCGATCATGGTTCTTCTTTGAGAATCCGAAGCTTTTAAACTGAACTTGAAGAACAGCAAGTAGCTGAGTATACGTCTGAATAGCACGTTTCACTTGACCCCGTGCGAGTTGTAACTTGGCTTTAGTTCTTAATAACTCACCTTGATCCCATTTCACAGTCTGATCCAAAGCGGCATTGATCACACTTTCGCCATCTTTAAACCGTTTTTGAGCTGATAGAATTCGCGCCAATAGCATCCACCCTCTGACGTGGGACCCACCTTCCAAATTGATCAAACGATTCGCGTAACCAAAAGCATCGTCCAACTTTCTTTGTTCAGCGCTTTCTAAACCGAGAAGATAAACGATTTGAGAGTCAACCATTTTGGTCAACCTACCTGCTGTTTCTAAACACTGGAGTGATTCAGATTCAGATTTCGAATGGGATGAAACTGAAAGAGAAACGCCCAAAAATGAATACGCCACACCCATCATTTCCTCACATTTATCTTTCAATAAATGAATCGCTCTCTTTGAAGTCCTTACTCCTTCTGCGGAATTTGAGGTTTCAGAATGAATTTTTGAAGCGATTAATAAAGGCAACACGATATGTCGACCATCGGTTTCTTGTATAATTTTTATCAAATTCAAAGCGGATAAACAATCGTTTAGCGCATAGTAACATAGGGCTAAAAGTAGACACCTTTCGTTGTTTTCAATTATCCCCGGAAGTAATTCTTCCAATTGTCTAGCTAAAGAAACGAATCCACCGGATATGGATAACGCGTAAGAAAGATGATCTAAAATATCCGGGTCCCACTCGATCTTCTTTAAACAAACTTTTCTCAGTAGAATCATTAAAATTAGAATAGCTTCTTCTATGTTGTTTTTGGGTATGAATGAACCATCTGTTTGGAAACGGAAATTAGGAGGGTTTGCTTCTTCTGATCCACTGTAGAGAAGAAAAATTGCAAATTGTTTTTGAATTTTTGCTGTTGTTTCTTTGTCGAGGTTCCAGTGATGGAGTAGGGCTCTTCGGAATGATATGATTGCTTCCTGGTGTGACTCAGCGAGTTGATATAACTCAGGAAGTAACCCGACTGAGTTGGTTAGAGTCTCTTGCAATTTATGATCGGTTCCAAGGTTTTGAGGTAAGCCTAACGGGAATGATGATTCAATAACATCCAAAACAACTTTGCATGATTCAGCAGCTTCTGCAAAAGCAAGAGATAATTAATGCAAGAAATAACAACCTAGTTTCATTTATTTGGGTATTATTACATCACTTTCATTTTTTTTTCTTATCAAGACATTGTACTTTTGAAAAATCCATAAATTATAGTTTTGTAATTTCATTAATAAAAAAATTAACGAAAGTATGTTACTATTTCTTGCATGACAATGTTGTGATCCTAACTTATAAAAGGAATACCTTTATACCTCCCAAAATTCTGCAAAGATTTTGACTTTAAATAAGCTGCTTCAAGGAGTAAACCGACAGTGTTTATAGAGAAAGGTGGAGCACCATAAGTAGATGAATGTCTTTGAGGTTTCCTTAATTCATTAAGGCTAATTTTCATCTTTGGAGTAGCTGCAGCCATATCTATCCCTTCAAACACATGAAGAGCAGCTTCTATGTTTCCTTTTTGATATTCATATCTTCCTAGTAATGCTCTTGCTTCCTGTATAATAACAACATTTACAGTTTAAAAAAGTAGGGGAAAAACATGATTAGATGCATTTAATTTCATAGAAAAATGGTTAGAGAATCCACCTCATAATTCAAAGAATTACTCTCCCGGAGAGATGATTCTGCTTCTTCAATATTACCAGTATCAGGCTTCTGATCAACTTCACTGATGGCTTGAGATGAAGAATCAGGATTTGCTGAAAAATATTTTGTAACTTGGGAATCTGAGGATTCGATCATCTTGGTCTAATCAGTGGGACCAGTTACTTTTCACAACCACAAGCTTAAATCATTCATGTTGTAAACCAATTCTCGAAGATCTTCAACCTACAAAAAGGAATCAATCAGAAAACTTATATAACTACGAAGATATTGCTTGCATTTTGAAGGAATTCAGTAAGAAATTCATTTATGTCGAGATGAAAATTTTCAGATTCACATTTGTATCGGTGTGCCTTCAAATTAATAACAAAATCGACCTAAAAATAACCCTAAATAGGACAACAAAACCCAAACAGACATCCAATCGTATAATTTATAACAATCATGATGAATTACTAGAAACGTAGATTTAAATTCAACGTTGGATCACTTCAAAAAATAGAAGTTATGTCTATAAATGGAATAACATTACCTTTCTTCGTGACAACTGAAATTAATGACAACTTGTATGCCGCTCAAAACTCTACTGAAATTCCTCTGATCAATAGGGAATGAAATACATTATCATGTTTCAACGTTATCTGGCAAAGCTACATGAATCATTGACGTTGCTTTAGTTGAAGAAATCGATGTTAAATAATAACGACATCCATTTGGCATAGAAATTCTCGTGGTCGTTTAAAGAAACATGGAAAATGGGAAAAAATCTTGAAGCGGTTTTTAATAAAAATTGACTGAAAATTAATACAATTATGCATTGGGATAATTAGAGTGAATTCAAAAATACAAAGGAAGACAACACTATATTGTATTTTACTATTTATAATAATGTATATGTAAAAAAGGACAAAATAAAGAAAATCATAACCATTTATCTATCCAGATTCAGAAAAATCCTTACATTTTATTTATACGTAGAAAAACACTTACATTTTACATTAATCCAAATATCCCGTTTTTTTAAGAAATTACCGATTTTTTTTTGTGAAATGACATTTATCATTTTCGTTTTTAGATTAACATGAAAACAAACATAAACGACATTGCCTCTTGTCCAAAGTAAAACGTGAGAAATAGATCATTTCCTCAACGACCATTTAGTTAAGTAAAAATATATGACTTTACTTATTTTTTTTTCCATATCAGCCTAAAAACGAAAAAGATAAATGTCATATCATAAAATATACCAGTACCTTCTGGAAAAAAAAATGAATATTTGGGTAAATATGAAAGATAACCGAAAATATAAGAGTTTTTCTGAATATAAAAAATATATAAATGTATTTTGGTAGATAAATGGTTATATTTTTCTGTAATTTGCCCTGTAAAATATATCGACTTTCAACTTAAATAAATAACAAATATATTCTCAAAATTGATGTCGAAAATGAAAATCGAGTTATATTATAAGGTTAATAATAAATATGATCATATGAATTTATAGAATTATAAATAAGGACCAAGTTATTTAAGCACTCTGCTGATTTGAAATTAGTCATTTTGGAATATATATATATATATATATATATATATATATATATATATATATATATATATATATATATATATATATATATATATATATCAACTCCCTATATTTCTTTTAAATTTGACACCACTTAATTTTTATTTAAATGCAACTGATTTCTCTGATTCTTGTCTTCTCGTTTTCTGCTTATATGTTTCTACTACTAAAAATGTAACATGCAGGTTTGGTTAGATCTAAGTGTTCTTGAAGACTGTTTTAGATGTTGTGTCATAGTAAACAAAAGTAAAATTGCACTTGAAACTGTTTAAATGCAAATATTAACAACATTCTGAGACTTTCTTTCTTTGTTCTTTCGTACATTACCATATCTATCTTCCTACAATTTCAATGATATAGTTCGTTGCAATTGAAAATCTTGCTAGTTAAAAACATTATCAAAATTTGAATTTAAGGACAAAACTGTTAATTTGACTAAACCACATGACCATTTCTATAATTTACTTTTAAATAGAAGAACAATATGAAGTTCTAAATCTACAATAATAATTTCTCATTGTATTTTTTTATAATAAAGTAGTTTGCTTTTAGAAAGATGTATCTTAAGAGAGATATTCACTTATGATGTTTGGCTTTTAGAAGATATTTGGTGGTGTGGTCATCCTAGAGAACACAAAACACGCTCCATCCATGACCATGAGGTCTACATGATGATGATACTACAACTTCACTTGTTTATTTATTTTTATTTTTTATCAAATGTTGTGATTTTCGTGTTTTTTTTATTAATTATTATCTGATTTATAAATCCAAATTAGCCATTTTTAGAAGATTCGACAGAGCTTAAAAGTTAAGACCGGTGAAATTAAAGTTTGAGTTTGTCTTGTTGCGTAGACTAAGTTTGAATTTGATTTGATAGTTCAAAAATATTCATCAAAGGCAATGAAATAAGCTCAAGAGTTTAGCAGAAAATATCTGTTATGAAACACTTCAGAATTGAATTAATTCATGTTTAAATCTGAATTCAACTTTGGAATGTTACGCCGTTACAAATAATACATCACTAGGTGTGAGCCCCATGTATTACATGAGTATATATTTAAAACAATTAAATATATATAAACATTTGAGAAATTTGAATTTATAAGAAAAATGAGAAAAATATTGAATTACTAAAATTAAAGTGTTTTTTTTTCTCTTTTAAATTTAAACAAATCATTTAGATAAAATAATCAAAGCAAATTAATGAGATTTTAATTTAAAATTTTGAAATTATAAGGAAAATCAATTAATGAAATTGATAAGCATTTATTATTAAATTTAAATACCATATGAAATTTAATAAAATAGGAAAACTACAAAATTACATATGGAATAAAACTTAATCTACTCTAATAAATAAAAATCATTTTGCCACATGTCACATTCTCATTCATTTGACCATATGTCATTTTGTGGTTATTTTCAATTAAAATTTTCCACATGGCATTTTGTGGTTTTTTTTCCATTTAATTAAACTCTATATAACATTTAAATATAATAATTGCAATAAATATAATAATAAATGCATATCAATTTTAATAATTGACTTTCCTTCTAATTTCAACATTTTTAAATTAAAACTTCATTAGTTTCCTTTGTTTATTTACCTAAATTATTTGTTCAAATTTAAAAAAAAAAAAAATAATAATAATAATAATAATAATAATAATAATAATAATTTTAATAATTCAATATTTTTTTTTTCATTTTTCTCATAAATTCAAACTTTTTCAAAATTCAAATGTTTAGAATTATCATATTTTTTTTTAAAATGAACCCATGTAATACATGGGTGTTATACCTAGTTTAAAATAACCACAAAATGACATGTGACAAAATAAATAAGAGTGTGACAAGTGGTAAAATAAACCTTCATTTATTAGAGAAGATTTGTCATTTGGTATGAAACAAACTCAACTTTGGTTTCACTAAAAAAATATTAATACATAATTTATATGGAACACTTCAAAATTGAATTAATCCATGTTCTAACACATAATTCAACTTGACGTCATGCTTATTGCTTATTCTCACAATAAATTAATTTGAGTGTTTGGATAAAATCCAGCTTATTAGGCTAAATAAGCTAATTTTAATAAGCATCCCTCCCCATTCTTATTGCTTATTGCTTATTCTTATTGCTTATTCCTTAGTTGAGGAGACTCGTAATATTATTTATTGTGTTTATTTTTGTTGTCTTTGTACTGTATGTATTCACCATTAAATATGAAATAAAAAAAAATTGTTGACTTTTTTATTTTGTCAACAATTTCTTTCTTCATTATTAGTTTAAGCTTTCGCATTGGCACAATAAATCGGTGTCACGGCTTATGAGTGAATTTTTTTAATCGAATGATGGGGTTATTGTTTAGAGTTTTCGTTGGAGATTTATTGGAGTAGTAAAAGAAATTGTTGAGTGAGGATCCATAAATTGTTTCAAGTGGAATTTTTGATCGATCAAGAACAAACCAACAAGAGTTGTTCATTCGCACTTACGTGAGTTTCTTTTAGAAAAGTCTTTTGAGGAATTTGTCAATTTCACATTGAAGTAACAAAGGCATTCATTCTTTTTTTGTTAACTTATGTTTTTACGGAGATTTGAATTGAAAATGTGATCCATATAAAATAACTTTTGTGTTGAAGTGGGGTTTCAAGGTAAGCACACCATGTATTCAATAAAAGTCCTTAAAGAGATTAAGTTAGTGTATGTGAGGTTCAAGAACAAGGGGTCGGCTACCATTTTGAAAATAAATTGATTAAAGAGTAAAATGGTTTCAGTTGGGTGGTGACCAGTTTGATTATAATGTGGGTATTTTGATCAAGAAAGTGGTGTTTGGTTTATTATTAGGTAACAAATTTCTATGACTAACCAAAGGGGTGAATTAGAGGCAACTGGGTGTTGGTTTAATCGATTTTATTTACAAGGTTCGATTGTTTAAGCCATAAACGTTAAAGAATGAAATCACTAGATCTTAAGAGGAGATAAGTTGAGTTGTTTAGAGGAAGAATGTTGTAATATTCTTGTTATTGACACCACATAAGGTGGTTCTTCAAGTCTACATGTTTATGGGGAAGGATGGTTTATGAGGTGTCAAGATTTGGTTCAATGCATGTGCACTCCTAAAAGAGGCTTTGTGACATCCCATATTTTGTTTGGTAATCTTTAAAAGCAGTTTATACTCTAATTTTAAAATAATTCTCTTTATTTAAACAATTATCATTTCAAACTCATGAGATGTCAACTTGTATATATAAATTCATAAGTAAAAGCTTACCCGAACCAATCATAGTGGCTAAAAACCAAAACTCTCAAGCATCGCTTACTAATAGCTACCTGAGACACACATAAAAATAATTCGTTAGACTACAAAGCCTAATAAGATACATAAGGCCAGGACTAATACACATATATAAGTTTCAACACGAAACATTATAATCATTACATCAAAAAAACAGTAAAATAAAACACAATTAAGCTAAATGACATTTTATTACACTTTTCTTAGTTCCTATTAGTCCTTAACACAAACTTACCATCTTATGTCTATATTAAAGGCACAACTCTCTCATAAAACTCTATTCTCATAAAGAACTACCCTTTATCATGAAGCACTACCTTTTTCACCAAGCACTACCCATTTCTCCAAGTATTAACCCTTTCATAAAGCATTACCCTTTTCAAAATGCATTACCTTTTTCACAAAGTATTTATCTTTCACAAAAGCATGTGCCCTTTCACAAAGCACAACCTTTTCACAAAGCATTACCCCTTTCACAAAGTATTACTATTTCACAATACATTACCCCTTTCACAAAGAACACGCCCCTTTCACAAAGCACAACCTAACATACACATTTTCACAAAGCACAAACCCTTTTAGAAAGCATAAACGTTTTCGATGAAACATAATCCTTTCAAAAAGAACAAACCCTTTCTAAAAGCACAAACCCTTGTGGGTTTAGGGTACAGGGTATAAACTCTTGTCATAAAGCATATAGATATGGTATATCATCATATCACCATTTTCCCACTATCACCTAAACATAGGTTAGTAGTTGTTTTTTTTTTTTTTTCATTATCACCTATATATAGGTCATCACACCCAACATTTCTTATTTAACCCCTTTTACATGTATGCTTATTTGTTGTATTATATAAAAAGTCGATAACAACAATTTAACACCTTGAATACTCTCTAATAAATGAAGGTTTTTTACCACTTGTTACACTCTCATTCAATTTGTTAAATGTCATTTCATAGTTGTTTTGAATTATTATTTTTTTTCCACATATCATTTTATGAATTTTTTTTTCTATTTTATTAAATTCCACATAATATTTTAATGTAATAATTGCAACAAATGTAGTAATAAATGAATATTAATTTCACTAATAAACTTACTTTTAAATTTCAAAATTCTCAAAATTAAAGTTTATTAGTTTTTTTATTTATTTAAATTTAAAAGATAAAAACCATTTTCATTATAATAAATTATTATTTTCTTATAAATTCAAAGTTTTTAAATATTTTGGCATTTATATTTAATATATATATATTTTTTTTTAAAATTAACCTATATAATAAATGAATCTCACAGTATAAGATTATATGATGCATATGTTAATACACAAATAACACATACCAAATAAACACATAGTTTTTATATGGGATGTGTGCATGAAAAAATAATTATAATTATGTACTCATATTTGCCTCTACAACACTGTTTCACCTACATAAAGGCCCATAATTTCTCTAACTCGTCACGGAAACCCTATAAACAATTACAACCCTATTAATTGTTGGTATCAATCCTGTTAAGGATGTAACTTGGGATTTATCACCAATACTTTGTACACAGTATCAATAAGATTCTAAACTACTCCTACCCCAACCCTTGTTAAGTTTTCAAGCCATAACTCATAAACCATACCAACGATTTAGTTGATTCCAATGGCCTTCAAAAAAGACAAAATTTCGTACAACTCTTGTCATTTATAGTTTTTCCCAATTTAGTTCAGATTTTTCTCCATGTTGCATACAAGATCAAGGAGAGTTGTTGTCTCCTCGGTTATCATACAGATACATAAGACCTAGTACTAGTTCTTAGAAAATAAACCAATTCCAAAACATATCTCCCAAGCCAGAAAAAAGTCCATGAAAATTGTTCTTCGGTGTATAGGCTTTTGGGACTTCCTTAAGCCAACATAAGTATAAGAAATGAAACAAGTCTTACAAGGATGTTCTTCGGTTCACATGACAGTGTACAATTTTTGAGACAACCAAAAGACATTAATGACTATTATTATTTTGTGTTCTTGGCACCCACATGAATTAAGAAGCATAATGTCATCTTGTACTCAATACTCATCCATAATAGGAAGAAAGAGGCCAAGAGAAAAGCTACAAAAGCTAAATAATGTCCAAAACCCATCGACCGAAGCACACACGCACGAGCGAGTGGTATTGTGAAGGTTCCCAGTGGTATATGGGCATTTAGTCCAATACTAAAGCCATACCCATGTAACCAGAGGAAAAGGAGGTCTAGACGATGTTCTTAACTTGTAATGCCATAAAGAAAGCCCAAAAAGTCTGATTCTCGATCATAATCACAGCCACAACACACGGTGGTGCTGTGGTGGTTTCCCGGTGGCATAGGGTGCCGTCGGGACTTTTTGTCTTTTTCTTACATGCTAGCGGTCGAGACATCCCCTATAAATCAGAAATCAAGCCTTACCTGCTGGGGAACATGTAACCGCGATAGCAGAGTCCAACACATCCATTTCCGTCCTTCTTCCTCCCCCGATCATACTCTCTTTCTTTCTCCCGATATATATATTTTTTGCGTATTACTCACGTATCCCCCTTATTTAATGCGTATAGGATCGTATATATAGGTCATACTATTTTTATTTAGGTAGAACATGACCTAGGGTTGTGATTGGAGAGGCTACAGACAGAATTCCTGTAATTTCATGCATAAGAAATTTATTCTACACGTTCGGTCCCTTATCTTTCAAAGGTTATCAATACTCCCCCAATTCTCATTTTGCATTATTTAGTGGTAGTTAAGCTACCCCTTCTACTTTCCTTATTTTTTAATAAACTTTATTTAATTTAATTTTATTTAAGTTTCTCATTATGACAACTAATACCCTTAATTACTTTAAATGTGATATATTATATTATTTTAAAATGTTGAAACTCATACAACCCCAACTTATGGGTGTTATAAGCTCGCATGTGTGGGTGAGATGATGTATATGCAAAGGAGAATAAAGTTGAGAGACAGTTATGGTGGAGGTATCAAGGTATATTGGTTGTGGTCTTCGTCTGAGAGGTATGTCATGTTAAGCTGAAATATTAGGTTTAATTCAAAGTTAGTGGTATACCATGATAGTTCTTTAGGAATGACAGATAATATAGAGAGTATCTCCAGACGGATAGAGGATATAAATTTTGAGGTGGTATCGAATGATCTAAAGTATGTTGCTCAAATTGATATGAAAGAGATGAAGAAGAAACTAGATGTGGGATTCTTTAACCTAGCCTTATGTATGGATAAGCAAAACAGAAATCGACAAATCGACAAAACTTGATAAAATAAAACTGAACCCAAACTGTTGATTTTGCGTTTAGATTTTTCAAAATCGTAAACTTCGGTTTGGGTCCGATTTACATATTTAAAAGCGAACCATTAAAACCGAAAGGAACCGATGCAAACCCAAAAAACAGACTCGATATACATATTATAAAGTATTTAATATATTTTAATAAATTGTATATGTTTTATTATATATATATATATATATATATATATATATATATATATATATATATATATATATATATATATATAATTTTCAAAACCCTAACTGCGTATGTAACATCTAGTTCTAGAATGTTTCTGATTTCGGGATAGCGTACCGTAATTTGACCGAGTTAAGGTCTTTGACTTCAAGGTAACAAAGTTTAAACCTCATCAGATGTTGATAATGTTGGTTAAGTGATTTAAGCTTTTAAATTATGCTTTTGAGCTAAGGGGTAAAATAGGAAAAAGTGACATTTGGACTTCTTACATGAATTAATGAATTTAGTTTGGTTTATATTAAGTCGAAATCAATTGGATAAAATAGTGGGGCTTGTTAATACCTTCATGTGCGTATAAATACCACTGAAAACAAGTTTGAAACGATAAAGTTATGATTGTTTGAAGCTGATGTAACGTCCTAAAAATACAAAGTAATATTTTTATTTTTCCCACCAACCAAAACCATTCATTCGATCCTTTAAAAGATAATAATAGTATATTGTATTCTCAAAATGTCAGATTAAAGTCATAAAATATATAGTGTGGAAAGCTCCAGAGGATACAATGCGATCAAGTTGGGTCATTCCATTTTGAACCAAAAGTACCTGAAATAATAAACTTAAACCATAAGCACAAAGCTTAGTGGGTTCGCCAAAATGTCATATACCAAACATAACAGTGGGATCAACCCTAAGGGTATAATTCAACCGATATGAATGTTATTATCAAACCATAGTCTTACAATCACTTCTCTTACTACATCCCAACTGCAGTCTTTCCTACCATGATCCATGTAACACCTGTTTCGGGTATCATTTGATTTTTCCAGGTTTTAGGGTTTTATGCTAGGACTCGACGAGTTGGTGAGCTCCAATTCGTCGAGTAGAAGTCATTTATGAGTACGCGATATTTAGATCCTACTCGACGAGTCGGAAGGCCCCGACTCAACGAGTAGGCACTGTAAAGGAAAACCCTAACTTTTAGGGTTTGCACCCTATATAAAGGACTTAATCCACCTCGTTGGGCCTCCCATACCACTTCATCACGTAGAGAAGAAACCTTAGTCGTTCTTTGCTACTTCCTTGTGCTTGTGAGGCTTAGAGAGTGCTTTTGGTGCATTTTGTTGAAGAGGTTAGAAGGTTGAGAAGCTTGGAACGGGAAGGAGCTTGTAGATCTAGCATCTACATCGTTTGGGCTTCCATTTGAAGGTAATAAGTTGTTACCTTGATCATTCTAGTATTAGATCCCCTTTTTCTTGGGTTTAAGGCCTTTTTTAGTATATTTGTAGAGTATTTCGGGTATTGGGCATGATTTGAAGTTGTAACTTTAAATATGGACTCCTCTGAGTTATAAAGTCAGTAATTTATCAAGCATTGGCCCTTCTCTTTGGCTAAAACCCCTCCCTTATCTTGGTTTTGGCATTTAAGAGCTTGCATGCACGTAAAGTTTACAACTTTATGTGGAAACCATGCCCTAGGAGGCTAAATCTGTAATTTGGAGCTTTGGGTAGCTTAAAAATGTCTGAACACAAAAAGGATTGAAAGGACTTTGCGAGTCCCTTAGTCAACTTGACGAGTCTGGTTAGGGTTTTCCCGCTTTCAGGATCCAGAGTGATTTCTATCAGAGATTTCAGCCAAGAGATTTTGGTTTTGAGTTTTCGACCCTTGGACTTAAGGAACTCGACGAGTCACTCAGGTGACTCGGCGAGTTGACTCGGGATTTCGGTTGAATGGACTCCGAAGAAAATCAATGAGTTACTCAGTTGACTCGGGATTTCGGTTATATGGACTTGGAAGGAACTCAACGAGTTGTTGGATGCACTTGACGAGTTGGGGTCAACATGGATTGTTGGTGTTAACTTGGACTTTGATTAGGGTTGACCAGGGTTAACTTTGAGGGTAAGTGTGGTATTTCAGGATTGTGACAAGTTAATCACATGATGATTATAGGTAGTTGAGTTGGAGTTGTGCGTGGGACTTATTTGACCGAATCTTGTCTGTTCAACATTCACGAGAGGTGACTCTCCTCACTATACCAATGGGTCGAAGGCACCAAGGCCGGTCCATTATTTTCTACGTATGTGCTAATGGATTATGTGATATGTGATATGCTAGTTGTATCTGTGATACTTTTATGGAAGACCTCGGGGGGGTTCCCAGGGCACTTAAGTATAAGACCTTGGAGGGTTTCCACGACATCTTAGGTAAAGACCTCGGGGGTTCCCGAGGCACTTAAGTTTAAGACCTTTGAGGGTTTCCCAGGCATCCTAGGTCAAGAACTCGGGGGTTCTCGAGGTATTGGGCTAAGACCATGTGGGGGTTCCCATGACACCCGGAGTAAGACCCTAGAGGGTTTCCAGGGCTTCCCTATATGTTTGTATGCATGGCTTATATGGTTTATGTAGCTTTTATAGATATTATGATTATGTGTTTATGTGGAATGTGTGGGATATGCTCTGGAGAACTCATTAAGCATTAGAATAATATTGTTATTGTGATAAACTTGAAAACAAATGTATTGAGATTTTATGGTTTATGGAAAAATGTTTTTGCCTATCTAAAAATGAAAATTTTCTTTTGAAAATTTGGGTCGTTACAATTTGGTACCAGAGCCTTGGTTTGAGGGATTTGGGCACACTCTCGGGTGTGTCAGGACTCAAACTAAGGAAATGTTAAAATTGTTTTCAAAAATAAATAAAAGTTAAAAGCTTTTTAGAATGAGAAAGAGGGGAGTGCAATGTGTGTGATCGGCCGAGCCAAGTAAATAGTTCCCCCACTATGTTAGCCATGTTATACTGATATGTGAGTTATGATAATCGTATGAATCTTGATATGTGTACGCTTTCAAATTTGTATACTGTTATGGTCTTATAGCATCAGAATGATTGATTTGGCCTTATTTCCTGTTCCTTGTTTGGTTGTGGTCTTAGGATAGAGTTTATTATTCGAAAGTCTATTCGATCATGTTCTGTGTATAATATGCATGCATAAGGCAACCTGTTATGATTGAATTATGGTTTGATATGGATGGAGGAAATCTTAGAATAGCCTAGGATTTGAGCTATGTGGTAGCCTGTGAGATATGATTTGTTTTGCGACGATTAGAGTTATCAAGTAGAGCCTTGGGGAATATATAGGTAGGTGTGGAAGGTAATATTGAGCGCGTACTACTGGAAGCATAGGACCTGTACCAGAACCAATGTTAGATCTGGAAGCTGTAAGGAGGACCAGTGTGGGAGGATCCCCTCTATGGACATCCTAATTATTATGTTTTGTGGTATTGCAGTATAGTATGGTGGTGACACGATTCAGAGTAGGGGGTCAGGATCGGGATCATGATCCAGGGCTGGGTCGAGTGACACTACCGATCCTATTGACGAGAGGTTGCGTGAGCTTATTGCAACAAAGGTTACGAGGAGCATCCTTGACGCTACCAAAATTATCTTTGGAACGGTCAAGGAGGATATGATGGAGATCATAGAGGAGAGGCTTAGGGCATTCAGAGTCGAGATTGTTGCGGGTCAGGTCTGGCCCCGAACTCCCTCGTTCCAAGAGTTAAAGGCATGCGGTGAGCTGGAGTTTTTCGGGGTCAGGGACCCCGTTGTTAGCCGACACTGGGTGGTGGACATAGAGAACGCCCAAAGCATGATTTCTTTCCCTAATGTGGCTAATGTGGGGTTTGTTTCATGTATGCTGAGGGATCGGACCTGGAATTGGTGGGGAGAGGTGACTAGCCAGGTAGGAGCAGTCGGTGTGGCGGAGATGACATGGGTCGAGTTTGTCAAGAGACTTGATCTGGATTTTATACCACCTATCGAGGTGGAATGAACAGTAAGTTTACCAATGCTAGGAGATATAAACCCCCAAGCTCCATGTATCACAAGTTTCTGAAACAAATCACAAAACGAAAATCAAGGGTTAGAACTTAGAACTATATGCAATCTGTTCCGAAATTAGGTTTTTCTGTCACTCTATTCATCCTCGACATCAAAGATCGAACCTGGAGTTGGGACCTATGTTTCGAGAGATGGAGCCTAAGGCGTAAGCGAAACCGTTGTTTACGGTTGCAATGGAGACGAAGACTGAAGACAGAAGGGTGATCGA